GACTGCGGCCAAACTTCTTGGATGCTTTTGATTGGCCAAAATGAATGTGTTTGTGTGGCCAATGGCATTTGATTCCATGAAGCGGAAGAGTGACAGCATGGCCGAGCCGACGACGCCGACGCTGACGCTGACGCCGGACGAAGCGAAGCTCTTCGCGTTCCTCTTGGACGTCGACGCGCAAAAGGGCGCGGGTCTCACGCTCCGCGTCGCCGGCGGCTGGGTCCGCGACAAGGTGCCATCGACCGACCGCCAACGTGCACCGCTCATGATCCTGCCCGTCTAGCTGCTTGGCCGCAGCAGCGACGACATTGACATTGTCCTCGACAAGATGACGGGCGCCGCGTTTGCCGAGCTCGTCAACACGTACGAGGTGCAGCATGGCCACGCGACGCACTCTGTCGGTATCATCAAGGTACGCCGCCTACACCACTGCATCCTATCATTCTGCGCAGGCCAACCCGGAGCAAAGCAAGCATCTCGAGACCGCAACGATGCAGCTCGGCAGCGGCTGGATCGACTTTGTCAACCTCCGCGCCGAAACGTACGCTGAGAACGAAGCACATCGCATACCGAGCATGGTGCCAACGCCGTTCTTTCCACTGCGTCATCATGCTGCTACGCTAGGAGTTTGGCACGCCGCTGCAGGACGCCGAACGACGCGACTTTACCATCAACAGCCTCTTTTACAACCTCAACACGGGCAGCGTCGAAGACTACACGCTCAAGGTACTCCGCTCGACCACAACAACAACATGTGGTTGAGGATATTGACTAGGGTCTGGCCGACCTCGCAGACGGTCTCGTGCGCACGCCACTCGAGCCTCGCGTGACGTTCCTCGACGACCCGCTCCGCATTCTTCGGGCGGTTCGGTTTGCCTCGCGGTTCGAGTTTGCACTCGACGAGTCGCTCACGCGTGTGCTCGTGCTGCCCGAAGTCAAGGTACCTCACAAACCCAAGGCTGTTATAACGTAATTATGGTGGTGTTAGGACGCTTTGCGTAAAAAGGTGTCACGCGAACGCGTCGGGAAGGAGCTCTCGGGCATGCTCACGGGTACACATATCGACGCGTCGTCGTCACATGCTGCAAGCGACGTAGGCACGTCGGCGCACCCGGACCGCGCGCTGAGCCTTCTCTTTGAGTTTGGACTGATGGATTGCGTGTTTACGCCGCCGTCATCGCTGCTGATGGGCGATCACGAACCCGCGACGCTGCCGGCGGCCACGTGGGAGCAATCGGTCGCCTGCGCCCTCGCCATGCACGCGTACGTGCCCTTTTTTCTATTAAGAACTAGTGTCGATGTATCCGACGCGGCAGGCTCTTGGCAGATCGGGATGCGCTCCGAATTGAGACCGGCGCGATGGACGAAGCGGCGTTGCACCGCTTCAAGCTCGAGATGCTCTCGGCGACGCTGCTTCCGTTGGCGCCGTACTTTGTGCTGCAAAAGAAGAAGCCCGTGCTGGCGTCGCACTACATCATCAAGGACAGCCTCAAGGTACGACTACATCGTGCACAGAAGCGTGACCTGTGCCGATAGCTGCGCGCCAAGGACGCCGATGACGTGGCCAATGTCATCCTCAAGTCGGTCGAACCATTTCGCTCCGTGGTGCTGGACCGTGTGGCGGTTGGCCTGCTCTTACGCCAGGTTGGCGACCTCTGGTCGATTTGTGCCGACGTTGCCTACGTGTACGACACGGTGCTGGGTGGCACGTCGGTGGCGTCGGCGGCCGCCAAGTACGATGCGCTGCGCGCCTTTGTGGCCGATGCATCGCTCGACCGCGTCTGGGACCTCAAGCCCATCTTGAACGTACGATCGCTGCCATCCTCGGCGCACCAGCTCACTGTCGATATATGGGGGTAGGGGAAGGACTTGATTGCGCGGCTTCAGTTGCCGCCGGGCCCCGCGGTGCGCGTCATGCAAGAAAAGGCCATCGCGTTCCAACTGGCGCACCCGTCGGCGTCGGCCGACGACTGCCTCGCGCACCTGCAGTCGCTCGCCTAGGTGCACAAGCGCCGACTCATTTTGTGGTACAACGACTTCAACACAACGAAAAAGTGTTATTAGCACAACACCAGACGGGTTACAAGAGAACGGCGCTCTCGCGACCGCTGAGCATCGCAAGGCTGTGGTCGCGGTGGCCGGTTGTGTAAAAGTCCTTTTGGTCTTCGAGGGCCTGGTTGCGCTTGCGGTTGCGCACGACGAGGAACGCGACCGCACTCACACCGACGGCGATCGAGCATACGAGCATGACTGAGAGCACCGTGCCGCCGGCCGAGCTCGAGGCGTCGCCCGTCGACGCGGTGTTGGTCTCGCCGTTCGTGTCTTTGCCACCGATTTGATTGACTTTGGCCGTCGGCGCCGGCGTCGCATCGACGTCGGGCAGCGTCTGCACGGGCGACGCAATGAGATCGATGGCCCCGGCGTACGAACCCGTTGCATTAACGTTGTCGGTCGTCACGTTGGGCGTCGCGCTTGGCTGCGTCGTGTTGGCCACCGCCGTCGGGGCCGGTGTCTCGGTAGTGGGTGCCGGTGTCGGTGGTGCCGTCGTCGTTGGCTCAGGCGTCGGCGCGGGTGTCGGCGCGGGTGTCGGGGCCGGCGTCGGTGCCGGTGTCGGGGCGGGTGTCGGCGGTGCCGGTGGGCCACCGCCAAACTTCCACTTGCCTTGCGTGTCGGCGACGCCAAAGGACTGCTCAAAGCCACCCTTGTTGGGCACGTCCTTGAACATAAAGTAGTAGGTTGTGTCGCCGCCGTTCGAGGACGCCCAGTCGTTGAACGAGTCGTGGTATTTCTTGGCGTTGTCGTAAGTGCACTGGTGGCCGTTGAACGCACCGCCGGCCGAGGGCCAGCCCGACTCGGTGATGCGCGCCTTCCCGCCCCACTTGTTGGTGATCGCGTTCCAGCGCGCGTTGAGATCGCCCATCGGGTCGTTGATCGACGCCGCGCCGCTGAAGAACGGATACAGATTGACACCGATCGAGTCGCAGGCGTCGGCGACCTGCGGGTTGTTCAAGAAGTCACCGTCGATCTGGACGGTACCGACAGGCACGTTGATGCCCGCGGCCCGGATCGCAGACTTGCCCTTGTTGATGGCGTCGATGACGGCGCCGGCACCCCAGCCCTTGTGGAGCTCTTCGTTGCCAATGTAGATGGCCTTGACGCTGCCGGGATGGCGCTTCGTGCCGTCAATCGCAGCTTGAAGCTCCGAGTCCCAGTTGCCGCCTTCGATCCAGACACCGACCGCGATCGAGAGACCGGCGTCGGCGGCGACGTCAATCATGTTCTTGCCACCGAACGTCACTTTGTACGTGCGCACGGACGAGTAGCGCTGCTTGATGATGCCGAAATGACGCTCGACGTCGGCGGCGTTTTCCGTCGAGTCGTAGCAAATGCCAGCGCCGTTCGCACCGGTCGAGACACGGGCCGCTGCGCCAAACTCGGGGCCGATCGTGACGACGGCGAGGACGGTACCGACGACGGCGGCAACACCGATCGCACTGAGCAGCTTCTTGTGTGCCCACGCCCACGTCCGCGCGGTAGCAAAGGGCGACGACGGCGTCTCGAGCGCCGGTGTCGGTGACTGCGTCGGCGTCATGCTAGAAAGTACGAGAATGGCTGCATTCCTACTTACGGCGCGCGCCATGTGTAATGTCCGCGTTCATAGACCATGGCGCCAACCGTGGACGTCGTCGCCCACGTGCAAGTGCGGAACGCCGATCGTGGCTGCCACGTGTCGAAGTTCGAAGGACAGCCGCGCCAGAAGTGCAAACTCACACGCAACCCAGCATCGTCTACACACGACGACCGAAAGTATTCCCATAGAGTAGTTGCGTACAAATCGTCTGGCGCTGAGCTCTAGACTCTGGGCTGGGACAGTCGTCGTGGCAGTGCTTCCGGCCTTGGACATGCCCCTTTCAACCGCGCGCGCGATCTGGTTCCGGCGAGCGGCACAACAACAAACAAACAGCTAACAACCGTTTGAAGCTACCGGTTACACCAGTTGTAGGTGCGCACCAGACTCCGTGACAATGCAGGGTCGATGCCAGGTCGAACTGCACAGAAGGAACCGCCCCGCGCTGGAATTAGGTGTAGGGTACGCTGACGCGTCAACTAGTAGTGCTGGCAAACATTGCAATTATATCGCTCTGGAGAAAAGGCCGCGGTAGATGCTCCTTGCGCTGGACGACTCGACCCACGACTGCTCAGAAGCAAGTAATGAGTTGTGGCTACTCGCGCTACGTGAGCGTCAAAGAGAGACGCCGGAATCTGTCATTTCGGAATCTGCATGCCCTTTGTATTGTAGCGTGCGCGTGTACGTGAAGAGCGCCACTTGGTTCTCCATGAGTGGCAATATAGCCCCGGCTACAGCAGCCCGGCTAGCTCCCATTCGGCAGCAAACACAAATCACGGGTGCGCATTGCAGAGGTGCATTCGAACCCCGAGATCCGGTGTTTAACCTTTAACCGAATCGCGGTTTTATGTTTAAACATGTTCGCGATCTTCGCTTTTTACTTCGATTCTCCCTTCCGGACCACCGGTCGAGCATGGCCGACACCAACGATGAGCTCGAGAAGCTCCGCTCGTACAAGACGCTCACAAAGCTGCGCATGAAGCAGGCCGCGGAGAAGCTTGCTTCGTACCGCTTCCAGGTTGAGGACGCGCAGAAGACGATCCAGGATCTCCAAGCGACCAACGCCGACCTCCAGGCGATGAATGCTGACCATGTCCGCGTCATTGCCAAGCTCCGCGTCGAGGTACGCCATTGCCATGCGCGCACACACATGTATAGCCTGCGAGACTAGGTCACTCGATTGCAGCGAGCGCAAGAGGCGGCTGCTAGACAACAACCCGTACAACGTGCTCTGTCGCCAACTGTAGTACGCGCCGTCGCCGACCCGCTGCCAGCGCTGGCCACGCCCGTACAAAACGACGCTCCAGCATCAGACGACGCAAGCAGCAGTAGCTCAGACGACGACGACTCTGTTTCGGACGCTGGCTCTGGCATCCTTGCAACGGGCTCAGACACCGACTCGGACGACGACGAGCCCAAGACTGTAGCCATGCTTCTTGGGCGGGCTGCCGCGGGTGCGTCGCCCAAGGCAATGACGCCGCTTCCGCTACCGACCACGCATGTGCCCTCTACAACGACGACGACAGCGACAACGACGGTGACGCCGACAACGGCACCGCCGACCGAGACGCCGACAACGCCCACCGAGACGGCGCCGACAACGGAGACAACAACCGCTCCCGAGACGACAGACGCTGCGCCTACCGCCAAGAAGCGCAAGCGTGACGAGTCGATGCCCCAGAACATCAACCGGTTTCTCCAGGTCGCGAGCATGTCATCGGGCAGCACAACGTACCGCGCGACCAAGATCCTCGCTCTCTTCTACGGGGCTGTCTTTGGCAACGAAGACAAAGTCGCGACCTCGGTACGACTTGTAGTTCTTCCCATGTTAACTTCTTGTCGTTCGTAGTTGATGCTGCTGCCCAAGCTGCGCAAGGCGATGCGACACCACCAAATTCCAATCACCGACGTTGCGTCGGCGTTCGTGGCCACCGCGCCGATCGGCAAAGACATTGCTTTGCACGTCGACGTCCTCTCTCAAGTGGCGCCGACGCCGTCCGACGCGGCCGTAGCGCTCGCAACGATCACGCAGCACGTTGGTCGCAAGAAGAACCTGCCGATGAAGCTCCAGGTGGGCTGGTGCCGCGTGCACACGCTCTTTAGCCGCCGCATCGGGTCGCTTGCGGCTACGACCGCTTTTCTTCTCGACCGCCTTGCAGCGCCGAACCGCCACCTCTTTGACTTTGTCGCAGTCGCCGAGAGCTGGCCACTGGCGCTGACGCAGCTCGGGGCAAAGGCGTCGACGTCGCTCTTGGCCATCACGGTGCGGTATCTCGTACGTCTGTCGTCCGTTTTGGGGAGAATGGCTCATGAGCAAGTAGCTTGGCACACTCGTGGCGGCGCGAGAGGGCGTGGACGAGCACACCGAGTTGCAAATAACCCCGATTCAAGACATGTACGCGCTCTGCAGCGGCGCGGTTGCTGCGGATGCCGACGCGATCGCTGCTGGCTTTGTAACGAGCGCGCCGACCGACACGATGCTGTTTGAGATGCAAGAGAGTCTCCGTCTTCTCTGCCTCGTGCACGGCTACGCAAAATGCATGCAAATGTTTCCGTCCGTGCAAGAGCTCCTGGCAGAGACGACGTCCGTGAGCGTGCGTCTTCTCGGTAAACACATTTGGTCTCGACTCGACACATTGATAGATTGATGGTTGTAGGAGTGACGGCGGCGACGCTGCTCGAGCACCCGTGTGCAGACGAAGCCACCGACACGAACGCCGCCAAAAGCATGATCGAGCGTCTCCTGCCCGTCGTTCAAAACACCCACTGTATGATATTATGTATTATGTACTATGGTGCTATGATGAATGTATGATGGTTGTAGGTGATCCGCATCTGCGCGCTGCCGCAGCCGTCGGTCTTCTTGAAGTTGCCAGTCGCGTCTCGGCCAAAACGCTCGCCAAAGAGTACTTGAGTCCGGTGCTCTTGTGGTTTGGCAGTCTGTCACCCCCGGCGCAGCTCGCCATGCCGAGCGGCCTCCTCCGCAAACTCCAAACCACCGTTGTCTCACTCGCCTAATATAACCAAAGTCGTTGCCATATTCGGAGGTGCCTCGCCCAAGACGCCGTCTGCCCTCAGTTGACAACGACGGAAATACGAACTTATTTTCCTTGGTTGACAAGCAAGAGTGGCGACAGACGAGCTCTGGCTCACAGTTGTCACTTCACACCAACGTGCACGAGCTCTTGGGACGTCAGCAGCCGCCTGGAGGACGCTACACGAGCTAGAGTGCTCTGGAGCACTGTAGCGATCAAGTAGATCGAGTCTGTCTCGAGCATGCTGCCGCCAACCTCCCGCGCCGACACCACCTTTCGTCATCGACACCTAATCATCGCTCCTACTGCCTTGATGGAGGCGTCGTCCGACCGTTAGGCTTGCTCAACGGGATTCTTTGCTATCGCTGTGACTGGCAACTGGCTCGTCCCAACGGGCGCAAGAACAACGCAGGCCTCCTCTTCTATAACCAAACACGCGTTCGAGAAACCACGAGGCGCAATGGATCGACCGCGCGGGTTGCCGGATCGCAAGCTCTACAAGGGCGTCAACGTCAGCAGCTTCTTTGACGAAGCGAGCTACCTCGCGTTTTGCGTCCACGAGTTTCGCCCGGACGATGTACTCGCGCTCACGTACCCCAAGTGCGGCACGACGTACCTCCAAAAGCTCCTCTACTTGGTGACGCGCGTCGACGCCACCGGTGACATTCCGACGTTGGATGCCGACAAAGACGCTGCAGTCGCCTATGGCCAGCTCTACCCCGAGTGGCTCCACCGCGACGAGACGGGCCATCCGCCTTTTCCGTCGTTCACGCTCGACGATATTTTGCACCAGGCATCGCCGCGCATCTTTAGCTCGCACCTCCGCGCCGACCTGCTGCCGCCGCCCGTCGGCCGCGTGCTCATCATGTTGCGCAACCCGAAAGACGTCTATGTCTCGCTGCATTGCATGCAGAACAAGCTCCACACCGTTCCGTGGTGCACCACGACGGACAACGTTGGCAGCCTCGACCGGTTCCTCCCGGGCGCCAACTGCGACGCGATTTATGGCGATTACTTTGGCTACATGCGGCATCTACAGGCCTACGTCAACGCCTACCCCTCCCACTGCCTCGTGCTCTACTATGAAGCATTTCTGTCGGACTTTGACGCGCAGCTCGAAGTGCTAGCAGCGTTTTTGGGCCTCGCGAAGCTGACGCCCGCCAAGCGCCAAGCTGTTGCAGCGCAAGCGTCGTTCCGGGCGATGCAAGCGGCGCATGCCAACTCGATGCGCGCGATGCTCTTTCGAAAGGGCGAGTGCGGCGACTGGAAACACTACGTGGACGTGGCGACTGCGCAAGGAAGGTCGCCGTCAGCTGCGCAGTGGGCGCGCTTTGACGCCGAGCTCGCCGCGCTCACTGACGTGCCAATCGCGCAGCCGCTCTGGCAGTGGATGCACTAGGCAAGTAAAATAATATTGTCGCTGATAGCCAAGGGTTTGGTTTTGACCTTTGCTGCAGCCGCAAGAAGGAAGGACCCATCACGATCCACACGGCCGAGTGAAGGAGCTTTATGCACCGTATTAACGTGACGTCGAAAAAAAGAGGCGATAGTGAAGCGCCCGCTGAAGCTCCGCAATCATCGTGGACTAGGGTCCTGAGAGACGCTAGGAGTGGCTTGATGGTGGTTGGGTGAACCTTATTTCCCTTCACGACGCTGTCATGAGCGTGCACGAAGCAAATATGGTGATGATGAGTATTTGCCCAGTGGCCTGCGTCGATGGCCACACTCGTGGTCTTGATGTCATGATTCCTCAAGGGACAATTATATTGTGGCGCACTGGAACAGTAGTTTGCCTATAGCAGCGATAGCAATCAAGATGCAGGTGTTTGTGTTAAATACGCATTAAATATGAATTAAATAATGTGAAGCGCACGCGCGGTCCGCGGGCTGGTGACGTGCATACTGGCGTGCGTCGTCCTCGGTCACGTTCGACGCGCCTTCTACATTTTCCCATGAGCCATCGGGGCGACGTCTCACTGTAGCCCTACCCCTTGCGCGGCGCCAAGACGTTTCTTGGGAGTGTCGTGACCCTAGATGCCGAGTCGAATGCGATCCATAAGACGTTGCAACAGAGACGTACCTTGGGACTGTCGCGGCGCTTGCGCTTGCCGTCCTGCAGCGTCTCGTCTGTGGTCTCTTCCTCGTCCGGGCCCTTCTTCTCTTCCTCATCGGGGTCCGCCTTTTCCTCCTCGTCATCGACGCGTTGTTGCTCGAGCATCGCACGGAGCGTCGCGTGCTGGTGGTCGACGCGGGTCTTGAGCTCATCTCCCGCTTCGGTCTCGGCCCACACGGTCGCAAAGCTCTTGGTGCCGGCGTCGACAAACGCGCATTTGTCCTTGGCGTGCATAAACAGCTTCTGCCACGTCGCGTGGCCTTGCAGCGCCGAGGCATTGCCTATATTGTCATGCAGCGTTAGCGTCGTCCAGAGACTATACGCGTAACAGTTGATGAGGCAGAAGCGGCGGCTGCGCGATGTCATGACGTTCGTGCGTCGGTCGTCGGCGAGGAAGCCCATCTTGCCACTCGTGACGCACGAGACGATAATAATGTCCTTCTCACGGCCCTACGTTGGTTCTGCGTCACCGAACGACCGTCGATAGCGAGAGGTACCTGAAAGCCGTCGACCGACGACACCTCAATACGGGTCCACGGCGTGGTGTCCACCTTGGCCGCAACATGAGCCGCCACCTTGGCGTCAATGGCGTCCACAAGCTTGTGCAATTGCGGCTTGTACGGCGTAATGATGCCGATGCTCCACTCGCCGCTCTGGACACGCGGGTATGTCACCATGAGTTGCTCAATCTACAAAAAGAAATGTCAGCTTGACGTGCGCCGCGACTCACGACCTGGTCAATGCAAAACGTGACTTCGGCTTCGTTGTACTTGGACGTGCCGACGAGCTTTTCGGTGCCAGCAATGTCGATCACCGTGAGCGGCTGGAACATCGGGTGGGCGTACATGGCTGCGTCTTGGGCCAGCACGCGTCGCGCGATCGCCGGCGCGTCCGTCAAGGCGTTGTCATAGAAGGCCTCGGCCGAAAATGCTCTCATAAATGGGTGCATGCGGTGTTGCTCCTACAAGTGTTGCGTGAGAATCCAAATACGAGCATTGTGGTACGTACGGTGAGCATCGTCACGGGCAGATACGCTTCGAGGCGCTCCATGAGCGAGACGGCAAACCCGTGCTTCTTGGCGTCGTCGCTCAGCACCGTCGGCGCGAGTTGCTTGGTGTCGCCAACGAAAAAGAACCGACCGGCTTGCGCGAGGAGCGCGAGAAGCGAGCTTGGCTCGGTCGCTTGGCCGCACTCATCGACAATGACCGCGTCAAAGCTACAGACACAATGAGTAGTCATCGGGTGAGAGAGGCGCACCCCGAATGCCGGAGCTTGTGCGTCATGTCGGAACCAGCGCACGACGAATGCGTCGCGAAGACGATGTTGGCCTTGTCCGCAACGCGCGCCAACAGCTTCCACTTGCTCATATCCTTCTCGACGTGGAGGTTCAGGGCGCGCTTGTCGTTGTCACCAAGCTTGTCGAGCGCGTCGTTGATCTCCTTCTTGTACTGCGCAGCCGCCGTCGCGAGGCCAATGTCCCGCGCGCGATGTCGACTGCCCATCTTGACGGCCGTGAGCGGGGGGGTTCCCAGTCCTTCCATGCGCGGCAGTTGCGCTTGGACCTTTGTCTCGTGACCGACGAGGTAGATGCCGACCGAGAAGACGCGCTCGATGATTTCATCGATCGCGGCGTTGGAATCTGAGGTCACGAGGACGCATGGCAACCGGTCCTTGGACTGCGACGCCTTGGAGAGGAGAGACGAAAGAAGGGCGCAGATCGTTGTCGTCTTGCCGGTACCCGGCGGCCCCTTCCAAAGCGAGATGCCGGTCTCGAGGTTGCCGAGGCCGCGACGCAGCGCCTGAAATTGCGACGAGTTGACCTCCGTCGCGATGAGCCCGGCCACCGCGCCGTCCACGTCGTAGAGCGACGGCTAGCGCACAAAGATGTAAGTTTACGCAGAGTGGAAGCAAGAGGTGTACCGTCATGAGCAACGTGTAAAAGTTGGTAAGGGTGGCCGCTGCCATCGCAATCGCTTCGGTGGGCGCCTTGGCCTTGTCGACAAGCTCGGCCACGACTTCATGGATCTTGGTCGCCTAGATAGAATAGGTTGAGACATTGAGACACAAAGAAGACTATGGTATCGTACCTCGAGGCTTTCGACCGAGGTTTTCATCTTGGCGAGCTCGGCCAAAAGCGTCAGCACGACGTCTTCGTCTTCCTTGGCCATCTGTCGCATGGAGGTAGCGCGAGACACTGCAAAGAAAGCAATGTACCTTCTTCTTGGGCGTCTTCTTGCCTTTGCCCTTGGTCGACGGCTTTAGCGCCCCGGTTGAGCTCTTGATGACGTCGCGAAGCGTGGCCGCGGCAGTCTTGAGCACCGAGAGAGTTGCGGTAGCACTCGACTGGTTGAGCACGACGTCGCGCAAGTGCTCGGGCAGCTGGTCGACGGAGCCGACGCCGTGGAGCATCCGCAGCGTCGTCACCAACGACACGACCACCTTGGCTTCGATCGCCTTGGCCTTTGGGAGGTCGAGCGCCTTTTTGTGCGCTTGGAGGAAGACGACGTCGATGGTCTGCCCGCGCACGCTCTCGACGATGCCAATGGCATGGCGCGAGTTGTCAACCTAATCGCATGTAGGCGAGATGGAAAGAGGCAGCCGATGCACGCACATTGAGGCGGACAACGTCGCTCACGTTGAGCGTGTGCTCGTCCTGCGTCTCGAACGTCGCCGCGTTGGGGTCCGAGACCCCTTCGAACGAGGCCACGAGCGATGTGACCGTAGCAGGCAGCGTTGTTTGTCTGCAGTTGCACGGAAAATATGAGATAATCGTGCGATATCGAGAGCAAATGTACCCCGAGAGGATCGCAGCTTGGGCTTCCGAAATGAGAAGCGCGTCAAAATGCTCCTTGTACGTATCTGCGGTCGACATCTTGGAGTGGAACTCGGGCGTCTCGGACAAAAGCACTCGTAGCAAAAATTCGCGCGTCGTTTTGGTCGACGATTCCAGCGTCTTGGGCGACTTGGCGTCGTCGAACGCCTTGTTCATGGTCGCGATCGGGTCGAGCTGCGTCGCCGCCTGGAGACGCGCGCCGGCCTTCTTCTTCTTTGCAGGCGACGACGCCGGCGACGGCGGTGGAATGAATTCAATCAACTTTGGCGATCGCGACGGCTGCAAGCTCCGGGCGGACGGAGACTTGATGAGGCGCGCGCCGATACGCTGGGGTGTCGTCGGCTGACCGATGCGAGGCTGGCCGACCGGAGCAGCTGAGGCATCCAGTAATCTTTGGACCGCGCGCTTCCACAGCATGTTGCCGCGATGCTTCCCCGTAAGGAGCAGGTCGAGTTGCTGGCCACCAATGGCGATGTACCGCGTCGGGTCGATTTCCGGAGCGAGCTCCAGCTTGACCCGCCCGAGAAACGCAGCGCGGTGGCCGTGAGGAAGTGTCGGGAGATCGGTGGGCAGCACCATTTGCGCGCGCACGTCGTTGTACGGCAGCACGACAATCGTGTCGGTGGCCTGGACGCCGTCCGGGAAGAAGGCCTTGAGCTTGGCGGTGTCGACGTCGTGCGCGTCCTTGGGAGCGAGATCGCCGACGTCGCGGAGCGACACCTCGACCATGGCCTTGAGCACCGCCGTGATGTCGTGTGAGGGAAAGGCCGCCGTAACATTTGCCGCGTCGAGCTCGTACGCGACCGTTCCGCCGAGGCCGGCGCGCTTGAGGACGAAGCGGCCCTCCATCGTCACCTCTGCTTCGAGCTCTCTGGAAAATGGAAGCCACCTCGTAGTTAGTCGAAGGTTCGCGCGCGCTTAGTCGAGCCTTCGACGGGCGCGCGGGCATGCTTGCCGCCACCGCATCTCATCGACGCGACCACTCTGATTTTTTAGGCGCCCTTTTTATTCTATTACCTACTCATCGCTTGTTTCAAAATCGAAGAAAAAAAGTAAAAGGGCTAGGCCCCCTACACAACGCCCTTTGAGGTCAAGCGATTTTGGACGGTTTCGCCAACACAGCGATTCTACCGGCGCTGGAAACCAGCCGCCTCAAGTTGAGTTGTCGAGTACGACCAGGAAGTCGCGTCCCGCGCTGTTCGTCGACAAGGACTGCGCGTCCGGGTGCAGCCAGCTTACAACGTTTTAGCATGTGAACGACCGTCATGGTCTGCTCATCTATGTAAATAAAGGCGGTCGACAGGTTGATATTCGTGGTAATGCAAACTAGGACTTCGGCTTAGCAGAGCACTTGATCTAGTATGTGGTTGCGCTGTACATCCAACATAGCAAGCATTGTACTAGTGTACTCTCGTTCTGATTCTAAGACTCGATCTGTAGCTCGACACTGGCGCGTACAAAATCGTCGGTGCCATCACCACCTAGTCTCAAATTGCTCTATATGCAAACGGCAGTTCCATTCGAAGTACGCCTCGATGCGACGGGCTCGACCGGCTGCAAGCGTCTCGGCAAAATCACCTCCTCGGTGACTGACAGATTTTGAAAAAATACATCAAATGTGTTTGGCAGTATCGGCCACTAGTGATGAACCAACAAGCCTTTCTCCGCTTCCAATAGAGCTCTAATTGTGGAGCAACCTCGGTCCTGCACCTCGTGGACCCAATCGCTCTCTTTCGGATTCGAAGACTCGATCTGTAGCTCGACACT